GCTTGTCTTTGAAACTCTGCTTTAGGTATTTCTGGAAGATCAGGTCTGAGGAGTCAGGAGAATTTTTTCTTGTCCCAGCTGGGTGTTTCTTTTCTTCACTAACTGCCTCTGTGAGTTCATTCTGCTGTGAAGTAATTTCACTTGCATCACCTCCACAGAGCCATTTTAATGCCTCACAAACAAAGTGGTTCTCTATGTAGATATTTATTCATTTATATCTTTATATCTTTATATATAAATCCATTCATGGATTCTGATGACTCAGCTGTTCAAGTTGCTTTTTTCCCCAATGTTTATACTGATGGTTTTTCATGCACATATTTATCCCAACAACACCCTGTATTAGGGAGGGTTCGAAACATACCGAATCTTGAGACCATGACACCGTTAAAAGCTTAACAAAAACCAATATTTATTACCAAGAGGCGGCCAACAAAACGAACAAACCCAAAAGGGAGGAAGGAGGAGAGAAATAAGCCCCCAGCACAACCTCCCCAGTTACCCAGTTGTTGCCCATAAAGTTATCTTACCGACCTAGCATGCCTATAATTACCCATAGCAGAAGCTGCATCCTTGGAGAGTCAGTAAGTTCACAAACTGGCAGGCGTCCCCGCCAAAAGGCAAGGTTGTCCTTGAGGTAAAGCTAGCTCCCCTCCAAGAAACACCATCTGCTTTTATACAATTAACTGAGTGACCTCAGCCTGGGCAGGAGTGGTCATCACCGCCCAGCCAGAGGCTCTCCATCCCACCCCTTAGTCATGTAAGTGCATCTCTTCTGCGCACGCGGGGCTTTCCCTGCGCTTACGTAGTGCACTTGGGGGGTCTTTTCCAAATGAGTCTGGGGGCACTACTTCATCATTATAGTCTTCACTTTCTCCTTCAAGCGACCTTGGAGGACAATTAGTCAATCACAGAACACCAGCTGAAACAGTTTATACAAGAAGCTCTCTCTCCAAGGACAAGGTACCTGTTTAGCAGTACTTGTTTTCTCAAAACTTGGCAGGGAAAGAACAAAACTTTTACAGTTGTCTGGGCCAAACACAGACCAAAAGTATCAGCATAAATTCACCCTGGTACACACCCTTATCAAACAAGGACATCTTCTAGGAGATTGTCCTTCCCACCATCATATGAAACCCACCTGGCTTGATGACATCTTAGAGGAAGAAAAGTCATTGCTCGTTAGTAGGGAGTATTCCACCTTCAGTACTACTCTACCAAAAATAAGATAATTCGCAACAACAACAACAAAAAAATCAATACTTTGCATCTATTAAAACTTGCTCTGTGATAAAATGAGTAGCTGTATCAGCCCCCAGACCAATAGCCTAGGTAATTAAAACAGGAATGGATGGCATCTTGCTTCCAGACTGGTCCCTCAATTCTTTTAGGTTCTTGGGTAGCAGCAGAAAGCACAGTTTCTCAGTCTCAGGCTGTCTGGGCTTGAGAATTAATTACTTTCATCTATGCTTCTCTAAATTTCTATGTTAGCATGTGTGCACATTGTTCAGGAGTGCTGTGATTTATGCAGTCACTAGTAATCTACCCACTTTTCCCAGTTGGGAAAAATCCATCCAAGTCAAAAATGTCACAAGAAATGAGGAATTCTTAGATTGAAACATCTTGGATTTACAGCTTAGTGCGGTTATCCAGCTAGGACTAGAGTAGATTTGGAATTTTGGGGTTGTTTGGCTCTTCTGTTATTTCCCAGAATTTAGGTTTGCTTCATCCTGTCTGGGAAGAGCAGATTGAAGTTGCCAATGCACAAGTAGTAGGAATTCTCTGAAGGAAAGTAAGGTTAATGTTGCTGCTTTAATTACTCTGCTCTAACCATCACGGCTCCTCAAAACATACCCATTTTTGATCGCTTCTTCTGACTGCTGGTCTGATAACTTTGTGATGGACTGCATTCTGTCACAGCCTCTGTACTCACTGGTAAATGAACAAAACCTGAATGACTTGGGCATAAAATTCACCCATCTTGTTCACAACAGACAATACAAACGCAGGCTCCCCATTTAACATATGACACGCAAAAGATCACAAGTGAAGGTATAAGGCTGTGCTTGAGATATGTGAATTTATATACCACTGCCTTTCTACAATGACAAGCTTAGGTAGACAGACTAGATTGTGGAAGCCTGAAAATATATGCAAACATATTTAGTTCAACTGTAAATGCTGAAGGCAAATTGACTTTGCTCATCTGTTAGGAATGAAATGAGCTGTGAAACTCATTAGAGTGAGTTTCTTCCAGCCCAGATGTGCAAAGGACAGCAATCTGCTGTGCAACTAAGCTCAACAGCACATACCGGAGGCTTTGAAGACCTATGGGTGTTAGCCAGGGTGGTAATCTATGAAAGATCTATTTATTATATACTGATCAAAGTCCACTTAAAATTTTGCCCTATTTACATTCAGCAAGCATCAGAGCTACTGATGTCACATACCTCAAAGCTCTGTTTCACAAACAAACACTTCTTGTATCTAAGTGCCACTTTTTTCAGAACACTTAGATCCCCAGGAATCACCTGTAATCCCGTCCCAGGCAGAACTGCAAGAAATTGTCTGATTTTAGTCTTATGAAGGTTCATTTGTCTGAGTTAACATTGTTTTAATTGTTTCTCAAAGGAGCAACTTGTCAAGTACAAACTATTTTCAATTTATTTTGAGACAAAGAGCTGATGAAAGTACAATGGAGAAATGTGCAGGATTCAGGAGGGAACACACATGGAGACACATGCAGATACAGAAGCACTAAGTCCTGCGGACTGACTGGCCAGCCAAAAAGGTCCCTGGAGAGTCCGGATTCTTGGAGCAGGCAGCATCTTGCAGCTTCAGGTCAGCATACACAGCAAGATAAATCCCTCTGGCAGCTTCTGGCTGTGCCTTTTACAGCTTCTGGACTGCCAGGCCAAGTCTCCGCTGGAAGGTTCTGGGGTCATCTGGAACTGTCCCTCAGGGCCAGCCACCTATGCATATCCCAGACAAACTCATTTTGGGGCTGGGAGACATGAGCTCCTGAGCAGTGCATGCAACCCCTCTTTTGACTTCACCCTGCCCTTGGTCAGGTGAGGGGCCAAGGTACCCTTGGTCTCACTCATCCACACCACAGAGGTGCAAGATCTACCTAAGCCTCCAAGGGAAATCTACTAGTCTCACACTGGTGAACAAATTGCAATAACAAAAACAGACTCATGCAATGAGAATACTCACAACAAGTTGCCCAATAGAGTTACAAAAAAACGTGGTTTCAGATATGCCCCTAACCAGCCACGGGCAGTTAGGGTTTTAGCCTCATTTGTGCCTGACACTAACAGAGGAAAACAGGCTGTGTGAAAAAAAAATGTCACCCATCTCTCCCTGTCCTTTTCACTATCAAAGTGCTAATTCATATCAGTATCCACTTGCTGTTGACCTTCTGCCAGCAACAACCTACTTCCCAGCTCTCCCAGGCTACTCTTCTGGGTTCTCAGGCTCTCCGCCCGTGGTTGCCTCACCCCAGCCCAATCTACAGAAGAAGGTACTGCAATTCTGTTTACCAGAAGTCCGAAGATTTCCTCTTATTTTACTCCAATGCCCTTACCAGCCATCTGAGGGCTGTTCGTGTTTGTTATCCCATGTGGTTCCGAGACTCTAAAAGAAATCTGAGGAATCTGTTGCTCAGCAGGTTTATCATAACACGATACTCAACTGAAGATCCCAGGGGGGCAAAGAGACTTCTCTGACACGGGCATCTCTACTGGCAGAATTGTTCTATTACTGTGGGTAAAGGCACTTTCACCAAGGCCCAATACATGCAGTTTGTTCCACTGGGAAATGAGGAGTGTACGTCCCTGTCATTTCCAGTATTATGCCTTTTTTTCTAGGCAGTTTGCATCATTCTCTCTGGGGATACCTGGATTGCTAACTCTCCTTTTTCTTTTTGCCACTTGCCCAGCCCATCATTACGACCCGGCGCTTGTTCCTCTGCGGGTCGGCCTGCCCAGCTCCCCTCCCACGGGACAGCTCCCTTTCAGCTCCCTGCCCCTTTCTTACCTGCCGATCTGGTTCCTTCACACCCCTCCTCGGTGTTTCCTTTCTGCTCCCACTTTTCTTTGCAAAAGTCACGCTTTAACAGTCTCTCACCCACGATTTTCCATGCCGGCCCGGGTTCCCCGCCCCAGCATCCCCCTTCTCCCGGCCCACCCTTGCACCGCGGGGGGAGCTGGCGGCTGGGCGCGGGCTGTAGCCCCACGGCAGCGGGGAGCTGCCCTCCCCGCCCTCCCTCCCCCCCGTGTCGCGGAGGAGGGCCCGTCTCGCCGCGCACATGACGGCGCGGTGGGAGGGTGGCCCCGGCGGGCGGCTTGGCCGCGCCACCGCCCAGCGGGCGGCAGAGGCGGCGGCAGAGGCGTCCTCAGCGCACACCGGCGGCGGCAGGGCCGGGGCAGCCGGAGCGGCCGGGGCAGCCGGAGAAGCGTGGGCGCGGAGCCGCGGCGGGAGCGGGGCAGCGCGGTGCTGAAGGGACAGCGCCCGCTCCGCCCCACCCCGCCCGGGCCGCCGGCGGGGACCACGGCGCGGAGCCCCGGGAGCG